ACACCTATTCTTTTGTGCAAATCAAACAGTCTTTCCGATCCATTCAGCCAGAAATATCTGTTTGGACCTGGAAAGATGCGTATCAAACGGGGCCTAACTATTAATCAATTTATGTTTACTCATCTATAATCTATTAGTGTTTACAAGGTTGTAAAAATCATTCGGCGGTCAACTGACGATAATCGATTAATCGGACTAGCCGGGGATTAATCGGGGACCTTAAATTATAAAAAAAATTATCTAAAAAAAATTAAGTTTTTGAAATTTTAAAAATTTAAAAATATGAAATTTTGAAAATTTTAGTATAATATTTTAAAATTTTGAAAATTTAGTATTTTGGTGTAATATTTGAAAAGTAAAAATTTTGAATTTTTTAAATATTTCCAACCTATTACCGTCGAGGACCGTCAAACCCGAGTTTGTCCAATTTTGACCAATCTCCACCAAACATCCTAATTGTAATCGATTCAAAACCGTCAAACGATTAATCGCCGATTAATTGGCCGCAAAGGCCGATTTTTGCAACACTGACAATTTATAGAAATTGTTTTCCAAAATAGTTTTTAGATTCGTTGCATCTTCATAGTTTTCTGGAAAAAGACACCCCCTTAACGATTTTAGTTATTATTAGTGTGTACTGATCTTTAAATTGTTTTATATTAGTATAACTGATTTGTTGTTTCTCTCTAAAGCATGACTACTGAAAGTTCCAACAACCAAAACTTGATAATACTCCTAACGCTCAAGGAGATCCAATGATAACCATGCCAATCAATTATGTAGAAAAACTAGAAATGTTTTATGGACCACACTTTAAGAGGTGGCAGCAAAAGATTCTCCTCTATCTTACCACATTGAATCTCAATAGATTCTTAATTGAAGAAGCTCCGAGGATACCAGAAGGAGAAGGAGATGTGCAAGCTTTAAGTGTTATTGAAGCTTGGAAACATTCAGATTTCTTGTGTAGGAACAATGTTCTTAATGGTCTTTTTGATTCATTGTATAATGTCTATTGTGTAACAAAAACGGTCAAAGAACTATAAGACTCAATGGACAAAAAGTACAAAACTAAAGATGTCGGAACCCAGAAGTGTGTGGTTGCTCGGTTTCTAGACTATAAAATGGTAGATGGGAAAACTATTATGTCCTAAGTCCAAGAACTACAAGTCCTCCTACATTACATGAATGTCGAGGGTATGGGGTTTAATGAGCATTTTTTATGTTGCTTACATGAATGAGAAGCTACCCCTAGTTTGGTTGATTTTGAGAATTACTTGAAACATAAGAGAAATGAGATGTCAATTGAGGACCTAATTGTTTGCCTTCAAATTGGAGAGGCCAATAAGGTAGCTCAAAAAAGTACCTCCAACCCTACCTCTGAAAAAGCTAATGTGGCAGAGCATGGTCAAAGTTTTGGGAAGAACAAGTCTGCAAAGGGTCAATTACAAAAGAAAAATAAGGGTGGAAACTTGGGAGCCAGAAGTGGAATTTTCAAGAAGAAGTTTCAAGGAAACTGTTACACATATTACATCCATTAGATTGGTACTTGCAATCGTTTCTATAAGAAATCTTGAAGTACATCAAATGAATGTTAAAACAACTTTTCTAAACAAGGATTTAGAAGAATAAATCTACATCAAATGGATGTTCAAACATCTTTCCAATTGCTCGTTTCGCACAAACGATTTGTTTTAAGACTGTTAGGAAAATATAACCCAAAATTACAGGAAAGAACAAGAACAAAAACTTGATTACTGAGACATGTGTTTAACACAATTTCTTTAAAACAAATTCGCCTTATATGGTTTTTTGTTTCCTAATGTACAACAGTAGAAAAAAAAATCTTCTAGATTGTCCGAACCTCACTTGACCGGTGTACACCTTGGTTGCAGCAGGAGATGGAAGAATAATAAAAAAAACATAAGAGATAAAGAGAAGACTGATTTTGATTTATTCGGTGTTATCTAAACAGTCAAGGATATGTTCGATTTATACTATAAATAGTAACTAGTGTTATTAAACATCAAAACATAACACTCAACTAAAGAGAATCATTAATCCATTGATCAAAACTAGAATATGTTATTAATAGCCTTTAATTCGGGTTTGTCACTATTAAAAAAAAAATAAAATAACTGCAAAAAAGTCCTTGGATTTCTTGGTTGACTAGTGGTGCATTCGCACCCACAAGACGCACGTTTGCTCACAAGTTCAGTGAACTGAAGCAAAACAGGCTCACGTTTGCATGTGCGTGCAAGAGATAACATTTGGTTCTATAAGTCTTACAAGAGTTAGAGTCATTGTAGTTATATGCACATCTTCTTATCTTTCTCCCATCCATGTGTGATGAAATAAAACTCAATTAACTCCTTTGTTAAACTCTTTCAACTACCTCACTTTATACAAATAATTTCTCATTCATTATTAATCCATTTTTTATGTGTGTTATATCAAAATGAAGGCATCACGATGGAAAACAGAAACATATAATCATTTGTCCATTTGATTGCATTTGGAGTTCGAAATTCGTGCTCAGACATAGGAAAACTCCATTTTTTTTGGATGTTAATAAAATTGATTTTCCAACAACCCCTACATGAATGAAATTAGTCCTTACTGAAAGAAGTATAAACAAAGTCAACAAGAAGGCAGCAAAATCAACCGTTTGTTTTGATTTTTTTTTTTTTTTTTTGTTGTTTTGCTTTTTGGTTTGAGTTTCATAACTATATTGTATGATATGAACAATTTAGTACATTTTTCTTTTATAACTTCAATACACAAAACTTGCCCATAAATTAGAATATACTATAGTGACAATATAATTTTTTTCTACATCATGATGTAAGTTTTTATCGCAATCTCACATAAGCATAGCATTTACACACACACACACATATATATATATATATATATATATATATATATATATATATATATATATATATATATATTATCCTCTCTAAAAGTAAGTAATATTATGATCTTTAGTGTAACATAAATATAATACACCATTCTTCAAATAAGATTAAACCTACTATACAAAATATAATCGGTTTAAAAATAAGTTAAACTAATTTTTGGTCATTCTCATTGAGAAATATAGGTTTCTATAGATTTTTTTATAATGATATAATCAATTGTTTTAATACAATCGAAACTCGCCGGATTCAATTGAAAATTTTGTTTATATTATACTTCAGGAAAGTAAAAACTACACATTAAACAACTTTGTGTAAGTAGTTATTTTCGATTTCGACTATATGCATAGCTTCGTTGTTGATTTAAACATATACTATTAACTATTTCAACTGCATAATTGCATTAACGTGCAACGCGCAATAATACGTCTAATTGTGATAAAAGAGAGCCTTCGAGGTGTACAAGTGGGCATCTTAGCCAACCTTGCCCATGTCAAATTCTAATCAACCATGTATGGGAAGGCCCAGTCCGCATGCCTTTTTATAAACTAACCCATTAAGGCCCACCAGATTTTTTTGGGCTACCCTCGAGCTAAAAAGCTCGGACATTTAAGGGATTTTTTTTTCATGTTTTACATAATAGCTACATACTTGTATTGGATTGTTTATTATACTAGTCTATTTTAATTAGATTTTTCACTGCGATCGGAGTCTTGTGATTTGTGTGTATAAGTCTACAAAAGTTGTTTATAGTTCAAATCGTAACATGTTAAAATATTAATAATGGTTTATATGTCAACAACTTAGAGACAGAGAATGACAAGATGATGGAAGAGGATGGGTGGTGTGGGATGAAAAAGGGTGGAGACCAAACATAAATTATTAATGATTAAAATGTTAAATATATAACAAATACTCATTAAAAATTATGTAATCAGTTTTGATGACGTGACATGCTGACATGATATGCTGACGTGTCAAAATTGATTTTTTTTTTCCACAAAAAACACTAAGTTTTTACTTTTTTTCGATTTTGACACTAAGTTTAATTTTTTATTTCAATTTTGACATTATATTTTTTTTTTGTTCCAATCGAACATCATTTATCATATTTTGTTTAATTTTGTCTATTTTCTATCTGAAACCGTATAAATATATTTTTTATTACATTTTAAACCGTATAAACAAAATTTTTTCGTTTAAAACACATTTTTATTTAAATACAAAATGTTTTTTTTTCTTACATTCAAAGCATTAGTTATATCATGAGAAATCAAACTAAACATAAGTTTCTAATAAGATGTAAAAATTTGATGGGTTGCAAACTTGATATCTGAGTTTTGATCGACTACACGCCTCCAAACCTTCAAACACATTTTAAAATTGCATATTTAATATAAAATACAATTTTTATATAACATATATATATATATATATATATATATATATATATATATATATATATAAATATGGTTTGAGTGTAAAAAAATGTATTTATACAAAACTATGGTTTTTAAATGAAAAAAAAAACATTTTTATACGGTTTAAATGTATTAAAAAATATTTATACGGTTTCAAATAGAAAATTGTCAACATTGAACAAAATTGAAAAAAAATGATGTTTGATTTGGAACAAAAAAACATAGTGTCAAAGTTGAATGAAAAATTAAACTTAGTGTCAAAATCGAAAAAAATGTAAATTTAGTGTTTTTTGTGAGAAAAAATTCAATTTTGACACGTCATCATATAACGTCAGCATATAACCTGGTCAACCGGTCAAGTGGTCAGAATTGTAACAAATTGGAAAACGCAGTGTGTAAATTGATATAAAAAATAACACGGTGTCAAAATCGAATTTCTGTGTAAAAATAATGTTTTTTTGTGCCATTTACCCATGTTTTATTGTCATTTTACTTATAATACATAACAAAATCATTATTAAAATACCAAAATTTTAAGCAAAGCGTAAATCTAACAGTTTTACTTTTTAGAAACAAAACTGAAAATTTTTAATCTAAGGATAAAAAGTATAATTTACTCAATTATTTCTGTTAATATGGAAAAATAAAATAAGCTTTGTTATGCAGTTTATGTCAATAAAATCGGATATTGTCATAGGTAAGGTGACATCTTCAAGGGAGTTAGGTGGAGTTGGCAGGTCTGTGATTTGTTGTTATATTTTGTATCACTAGGTAGATTAGCCGAAAGGGCTTTTACAACAAAAATCAAAGTATTTTCTCTAGTGCAAATCGTATGGCGATGTATACAATGATAACGGATGCCATCACCCAGTACACTGGACTATCACCGGCGGCGTTTTTCACCATATCGGCGATGATGGTGGTGGTGTATAAAGTTGTCTCCGGCATGTTTGTGGCGGCGGATGACTACATGGCTGTTAAACGTGAACAGGAATACGTACAGCGTGAACCAGTCCAAGTAGGAAACATCACGGAGGACGAATTGAGACCTTACAACGGTTCTGATCCTAGTAAACCCTTATTGATGGCCATTAAAGGAAAGATCTACGATGTTTCTCGCTCCAGGTGACAACGAACCTTCCTAACGCAATTCTATACGTTTTACTCCTCCTTTCCTCAGGTTTTTAGGTTACAAATTCGTACTCATATAGTCATATGCCATAGAATTTTAAGTTTGATTCGGTTCACTTACTTGGATAAAATGTTTTATTGCGGGGCAATAGATCGGAATGAATCCTAGCATCAATAATTTTGTAATGGTGATGCTAACCAAATAGGTAATAACTTCGTAATTATCAAACAGGAAAACATTGGGGATTTTCCTAAATGTGATTTAGCTTCGAAGTCATCATTATCTTTATCAACAACAGGGCTTATTAGGGACATTTTTTTATCTTCTTCTACAACCTCTCTTCATCTTTTTCATTGATTTGTGCATACTATGAGATTTAAGATAAGAAGAAGAAAGATTGATATTTTAATCAAATTAATGTTGCAGGATGTTCTATGGTCCTGGAGGACCATACGCTTTGTTTGCTGGTAGGGATGCTAGCCGAGCTTTAGCTCTCATGTCATTTGAGGCATCTGATCTTACTGGGAACATTGAGGGTCTGAGTGCATCTGAGCTTGAAGTTCTGGAAGATTGGGAAGCTAAGTTTGAGGAGAAGTATGTGAAGGTTGGGCAGCTAGTCTCAGAAGAAACAACATCAACCGATGTTACCCAGGATCAGACTAAAGTAGAGTAGCTGCATAACTGTAGATCGTATGTACCATTTCAAAAATATAATTGGTTTTATGTGAATACAAGATCTATGACACTTTGAAACTCAATCTTGTGTAAAGATTCTGTAACCTCATTTTTGGTTTGTTGGATATATATACCTTTTTTTTTCTTCGTTAAACTTGATATCATGCATTTCAGGTAGTGTTTTGTATGTAATGAAATGCTGCCACATAATGATATGAAGTATTTACCACGTAGAAAATACAAATTTATTGTTATTTTTCATGTTTTGTTTTTTCTCTTGCATACTACTAATAGAGACTGCTTTAAGCTTCAGAATTTTACTACTTAATTCACATATCTTAAATCAAGTTGGTGCATTATAATTTTAGTTTTGGATAGGATAGGCCCCCATCAGGTAAGAACATTAGTGATCCAAACTCTTTTTATAATTTTAAGGTTATGGGTTCTGAACACTTACCATTTGGTACTAACTTTTTGCCTGTTTTGTGTGAGGTTTGAACATGTTTTCAGTTATGAACACTTAACATTTGGTACTAATTTCTTGAAGTTGTTTTATGTAGTAAGGCTTATATGAACATGTGAGGGTAAAATGGACATCTTTTTCAGGAGTTCATGGTAATGCCTAGAAGAAAGTTTGAAAAGTTGCAGGAACTCTAGGATAAGTTTGGGTTGTTGTATAGTAACTAAACCATGTATATGTTGATAGAAAGTGTATAGTACAACAATATTGTTTTTTGTGGATTGAGGCATTGAGCTTTAATAGCAAGCCACTTTTCATATTTATCCAAAATAAGAATGTGACCATACTTTTTTTTTAAATCATAATGAGCAATCTACTTATTCTTTTAATAGATGTATGACCATACTTGTCATTTGCAACATAACCAACGACTTACTTAGATTTATGAGCAAAAATAGCAATCCACTTTTCATTTTTTATCCAAAATAGCACTGTACTTATTATTTTTTTATAAAATTAGCACTTTTAAGCAATGTAGGAACATACTTGTCATTTCCAACCAGTAAAAACATCCAACTTTCAGTTTTAACCATAACAACATCCAACTTTCACTATTAACCCATAACAAATCCTAAATTCATTTTTAACACATAATACCATACTACTTTCATTTTTAACACATAACAACATCCAACTTTCACACTTTCGTTTTTATCCCATATTAACATCATACTTTCGTTTTCATCCCATATTAGCATCATATGTTCGTTTTTTATAGCCTTTTTAATTTGACTAGGTTTCAACCCTGCTTGTCTAAGTTCCACCATAAGAGATTTACATTCCATTGAACGGTGGAATTTGCTATGAGATCGATGCTTCATCACCTTCGTTGGTGTCATGCTCAAGTTGTGATTGTGGGTCTCATTAAACGAGTCCACCAACCATTTCTCATTTTTTTTTTTTTTTTTGTTTTGTAATTTAAAGCATTGCTTGGCATCCGATTCTAACATCTCTATGTCGTTTGTTTCTCATTTTCACTTGAAGCATTTTTTGAAAACTGAATTTGATCTAAATTTAATCCCGAGTACCGAACCGAATTAACATTACCGATATCGGTACCGGTTTTCAGTACTAGCACCAGTACAAACAATACCGAATCTCGTATTTCGTGATTCTAGAGTACCGAGTACTATCCCATATATTTAAATTCGGCACGGTTTTGTACCGGTTCATGTACGAGATCGGGATATGGTACTAACTGCTCTATCCCTAGTCTAGAATCAAGACTTGAACTCCATTGGTAATCTTGTAAATTTCATTATACTAAAATGATACGATGACACTAAGTCACCAACAATATGTATTTATTCCTCGTCCAAATTTTGTTTATGTTTTTGTGCAGGTTGGTCTTCCTTACCCAAATAGGATGTCGATGGACTTGCAGGACTTTTAAGTTGTCAATAGAAGTTTTCCAAGAAGAGAACTTGGGGGTAAGGGTAAGACCATCTCCAACTGACCGGCAGATACGTGTTTTTCCGGCCAAAAATAGTTCAACCGACCAGTATCTTCAACACAAAAATGGTGAGATTGCACAGTAACACACAAAAATGGTGAGATATTGTTCACGACCTCCAAATGTAAATATTTAATATAATATTTATTTTATACATATATAACTCATTTAGAAACAAAAAAGAATGGTTTCAAGACTTCCACTCTTCGTTTTCGATCTGTTCTATCATGGGGAAATTAAGATGATGGCGTGTGTGTTTTCTTGCCTCCTTCATCGTGTCCATCTTTCTTTTTATATCCGGCGACCCTAACTACTAGTTGTTTCGTTTTTTTTGTTTTTTTTAATTCTCCCAATCGTGTTTTTTTTTTTTTTTTTTGCCTCCTATACATACTGTTTGTCTGAAAATATGGAGTTCAAAATGGATTTCAAGAAACATATTGGTTATTGAGGTGAACACGATGAAGTATGGAATGGGAATTGGAAAGGTGAAACAATTAAAATGTAGAGTTTGATAGTTTCAAGTAAACCATGGATGTAGTATATGGTTTCAAGAAACGACGAGATGAGGTGGGTTTGTAGAAAAACAAAAATAACAAATATTTCATAATTAAATAAAAATGAAATTGTTATTTTATTGATAAAAACATTAAATATATGTTTTAGCAAGAGTTTTTAGTGAGTGGTTGGAAGAGAAAAAATATTTAGTATTAGAATTACACAAGTTTAGTGTTTTTTTTAATATTATGGTTGAAGTTGGCCTAACATGGGAAAAGGGATAAAGGAGTAGGATGTGGGGTGAAGCTATTTCATTAATATTATTATAAAAAATAAAAACAACAATTACATAGTTAAAAATAACAATCATTTTACACTTCATATAGAGGAAAATAGTAACAAGAATATTAAGGAGCACCCATGCTCCTCCCTACGGTGGGATAATGTGGCATTGCGGGGAAGTAGGACAACATCACACCATCCAGTTTAATGAATCCAGGAACCTCTTCTGCGAGAATTGAAACCAAAACAATAAGGTGCGTTTAGTTACGGAAAAATGGACCGTTTTCTGGAAAAAATTTCCAAGAAAAATGAGAATTTTGAAAACGCATTTAGTTCGTCTATTTTTTTAAATTTTCCGTTTTCTAAAATTACAAAGAAGTTGGAAAATTTTGGAAAACTGATAATCATTGTTTTCCATATTTTTCTAATTCCAAAATTTTGACAAAATTACATAAATGGTCCTCATGGTTGACAAAATCGACCAATTATGGTTCTTATGACGAATTCTTTACACAGATGGTCCCTGTGGTTTCAAAATCTTACAAAGACGGTCTTTTTGACTAACAGCGTTAACTTTTTCAGTTAAGTTTTATGTGAAATGACATATTTGCCCTTCATGCATAAGGACGCTTTATGTAATGTGTTTCTACCATAGGGACCATTTATGTAATTTTCTCTATTATTTATTATTTTTTTATTTATTTTAATTATATATTTAAGGATTTAGATTTGTTTAAATTTATTGTTTAATATATATATATATATATATATATATATATATATATATATATATATATATATATATATATATATATATATGCTAACATTTTTTAACGTTTTGCTCAAATTATTTTTTCTAATCTTTTTGATATTTTCTTCAAGTAAATTTATTAATGTTTTTTATTTTGACGTTTCATTCGAATATTATTTATTTATTTTTTTGATGTTATGTTCGAATACATTTTTCAACTATATAACGTTGTATAATTATTATTTTTGTAAACTAATTTATTAACATTTTTTTATAAAAAAGTGTAAAATGTATGTTAAACGTGAATATGATTAATATATATTAGGTAGACATAGGCTAAGCTGAGACCGCCTCACAACTTGCCGAAAACGACCAGGTCATTTCACATTAGATTTAAATGTAATTATTTCGAGTTATTTTTTTTGTTTTGTTTTTAGCAGTGTTGTAAAAAATCACAACGCAAGGGTTTCTAATTGGTCAGGTAGCGTTTAGGGATTAATCTGAGTTTAAACAGACCTAATTGTAATTTTTTACAACACTACGTTATGAGGCGGTCTCAACGTAGCCTATGTCTACCTAATCTATATTAATCATATTCACGTTTAACAAACATTTTACACTTTTTTATAAAAAATGTTAATAAATTAGTTTACAAAAATAATAATTATGCATCCTTATATAGTTAAATATTTGAATTAAAAAGTAATAATTATATAACCTGATAAAAGAAAAAAATGAAAACATAATTGAAAGTGAATTAAGTTACGAATTATAATTACAATAGCCGTGAAATCCTTTAACAAATATAAACATATTATATGTTGAAAAATGTATTCGAACATAAAGTCAAATAAATAAATAAATAAATAAATAATATTCGAATAAAACGTCAAAATAGAAAACATTAATAAATTTACTTGAAGAAAATATCAAAAAGATTAGAAAAAATAATTTGAGCAAAACGTTAAAAAATGTTATTTATATATATATATATATATATATATATATATATATATATATATATATATATATATATATATATATATATATATATATATATATATATATATACATTAAACAATAAATTTAAAAAATCTAAATACTTAAATATATAATTAAAAAAGATAAAAAAAAATAATAAATAATAGAGAAAATTACATAAATGGTCCCTGTGGTAGAAACATATTACATAAAGCATCCTTATGCATGAAGGGCAAATAAGTCATTTCACATACGACTTAACTGAAAAAGTTAACGCCGTTAGTCAAAAGGACCGTCTTTGCAAGATTTTGAAACCACAAGGATCATCTGTGTAAAGAATTCGTCATAAGGACCATAATTGGTCGATTTTGTCAACTGTGACATCCCCAAAATCACGGCCAGAAAAGACCGGTTTAGTTTATACTTTATTTCAAAATCAGAGTTATCTTTTAATAAAAGGGTTGCGGAATTTGTCCCAAAAAAATAATATGATAAAGATTTATCAAAAGCATTTCCATAGAAATGTATTTCATTAAAAGACTCGGGATGTCATGTTCGTACAGATCAAAAGTATAAACAGTACAGTATAAGCTTTACTACATTATTTAATATCTACAGGCCTATATCCGTAATCCCTCGTCCAAAACATCACACCTATGCTCATGCGCCACTACCTGTAATACATAAAAACTGAGTGGGTCATGCTTGGGAGCCTGGTGAGCACATAGGGTTTTCAACCCACAATAAATAAGTTTATTAATTTCATCAATCAACAATAACCCGATTACCCGTTCCCGTTATCCTCACTTTACGTCCCTAAACACCTATCATAAGGGACCTAGCCTAAGGATCATCATCAGGACGGACACTGCTGCTAAGGGGATTCCTCAGCAATAAATATCCTAATAGGCAACCATGTGGGGGATGGAGTACATCTGGTGAGCACATAGTTCAAATAAACACACAGTTCAAATAAACACCTACAGGTTGCGAGCCTGCTAGTGTTCCACAAGACTGTCTAGAATAGTCCGTGGTCGTCATCTATACTCCGCTAGATGACTGGATCATCAATAACATCTATAACGAGGCCTCTCATTATTTTATTTTGTCACACAACAACTATTACATCTACCCATGTTTTACCCAATACATTTTGTAGATATAAAATACATATACAGTTAAATCTTTGAAAACATGTATAAAACGTTCATCCAGCATAGATAGCAAGTATTAAGATAATATGCACACATAGCACGTAATTTATATTAAATATTTCATATCTATGTGTAAGCTGAAAGTAACTATGCACTCACCTTAACGTTCGATAGACGATTAGTGTTCTGGAATGGATGCGAGAAGGTCGGATAGTATTTCCGTGAATATGAATCTCCGAGAAAATTTAGTATCCTAAGGAAATATTAATATAATTAATATTTGGAGGGTATATTGGTAATTAACCAAGGTACGGGGCCTATTCACGAATTTAAATATATTAAAGAAAAGCAGTGTTTTACTGTTTGATTTTCTTAAAACTGTCGTATCTTTTGCATACGAACTCTGTAACGACCCAAAAATCACGATGAAACGACCCAAAAATTTTGTTTTTCAATGTAATCAAAACCATAAACTGAGTATCATAACATAAAAACATACGCGATGTATCCCAAATCATAATAAAATACTGTGCGGAAAAACTGTATCATACTATATCAAATCAAGACAACTAAAACCATCCCCAGGATAAAAGCTAAGCTGTGGTGTGTGCGATGCTATCACCCCGAGCTCTTCCCTTTGCTTGCGGAAGTACCTGAAACCAAAACTGAAACTGTAAGCACGAAGCTTAGTGAGCTCCCCCAAACTACCACATACCATACATTTATCATATAAACACATATTGGGCCTGGCCCACTGCATCGGGCCGAAACCCGGAAACTGCATCGGACCGAAGTCCGGAACTGACTGGGACCTTGTCCCCTGCATCGGACCGAAGTCCGGAACTAACTGCATCGAACCGAAGTCCGGAACTAACTGCATCGGACCCAAGTCCGGAACTAACTGCATCGGACCGAAGTCCGGAACTATCTGCATCGGACCGAAGTCCGGAACTAACTGCATCAGACCGAAGTCCGGAACCTACTGGGACCTTGTCCCCTGCATCGGACCGAAGTCCGGAACTGACTGACTGAACATGGCATAGCATAACACATCATCTAGCATGAACACATATACTGCATACTACATCGGGCCGTAGCCCGGAACACATAACACTTAACACATAAAACATAACATACAAATCCTGTCTGAGCCACGAAGGCATCAAACATACTAGCTACTGCATCGGACCAAAGTCCGGAAACTACTGCTAACTGAACGGGCCGGCATTGTGGCCTTAGACCCGTCCCTACTGGAAGGAAACTCACCTGATGCTGCTGAACTGCTGCTGCTAATCCTTGACTGCTACCTGACTTCTGACTTCGACTGCTGCTCCACTAGCTCCTCAAGCTACCAATATCAATATGACACTTAGTCCAACTGACCTCCAAAGGTTACTAGGTCAAATCTGGTCAAGGTCAAAATCCTGGTCAAAGTCAACCTTCCGGGTCAACCCTACTCGCCGAGTCTATCTACTGACTCGCCGGGTTCATATGCCCTGAGTCTTTCTTGTTCGCGACTCGACTCGCCGAGTCAATCCATGACTCGCCGAGTCCAACTAGGTCCAAGTCCTGTCTGTCCAACTCGCTGAGTCACCACCCGACTCACTGATTCGGGTCTCGACTCGAAGGGTTTAGGGTTTCGCGATCTGACTCGCCGAGTCCAAGAACAGACTCGCCGAGTCCTAGACAATCTTCAACCAACTCGTCGAGTTGTTCATCCAACTCGCCGAGGCCATGCCTATCTTCATCCGACTCGACGAGTTGTTCATCCTACTCGTCGAGTTCCTCCTCACCTTCAAGCTACTCGCCGAGTCCACTCGAAGGACTCGCCGAGTCTATCCATTCCTCAATCCATGCAGTGGCTTTTCGAGCCAAACTGAACTTCCAACTCCTAGATCCATACTTCTAGGGCCTATTCCCCACGTAAAGTGGCAAACTTTACGTGTAGATTGAGAGATCTAAGCTCAAAACACACTAAATTCGGGTTTATGGCAAACATGCTTCTTCAACATATCAAAGGCTGATACTTTAGGGGATTCTAGACCAAAACCAACATGGATCTGAGGTAGCAACCTCAGATCTGAACCTCCAACTCGAATTGGTTACATATCATACCAACAATGGCCAAAACCCACACATAAGAGTAGATCTAGATGAAAAAGAGAGTCCAAGCAACAACTTATTACCTCCACTTGGTCTGAAATGACTCCACAATCCAGATCTACAATCCCTTCTTGCACCTCCAAGGTCTTTCTTCCTCCTCCAAGCGTAATGCATTCTACAAGGCAAGATCTAGCTCCAAAAACGGAAATGGCGGCTAGGGTTTGATGTTCTGGGGTAGAGAGGCAATAAATGAACCCTAGGAAGGAGAATGAGACACTTAAATAGGCTCCAAGTTCCCGGGTTTAGGGTTTTCCCCGTTCAGACCCAACTCGCTGAGTCTCCCTGGCCGACTCGCCGAGTCGGTCGCTTTCACCACAACCCGGATCCCGCTCGGACTCGCCGAGTCCCTCCATGGACTTGCCGAGTCTCCCCTAAACTTGAGGTTTTCTTTCTTTTCTTGGCTTTCCAAACTTTGGGGTGTTACAAACTCCATTTTCGACGTTCTTTATATCCACGCGTAGGCGGGAACGTACTCTACAACTTTATGTAAATATATCAGGCTTATATCGCAATTTAATTTTGACGTTTATTTTTATTCTTTATTAATTATATCTTTATAATTAAATAATAAGCATATAAATTCACATAATTCACAAAATACTCAAATATTTCATCTTTATTACTTCAAAAAGAATTACAATGGTTGACCGAGACTATTACATTGACAAAAATGCTTAGCCCTGAAACCCGGGCGTTACATCAACCATGAGGACCATTTATGTAATTTTGTCCAAAATTTTTCTATAAACATATATTCACTCCACCCCATCTACCTCTATCTACCCCCACCTACACACACACATACATACCCACCCCCACACACACACACCCGCACACACACACATACATACATACCCACTCACACACAAACACACACCCCAACCCACACACACATACATACCCACCCACACACACCCACCCACATACACACACACACACGAATACACCGACCCACACACACACACACACACACTAACCCACACACATACACATACATACCCACCCCCCCACACACACACCCGCACACATGCACCAACCCACACACATACATATACATACCCACCCACACATACACACCCACCTACAAACACACACACATACATACCCACTCGCACACACACCCACCCACCCGCACACACACACACACAAACCCCCTCCCCCCCCCCACACACACCACACCCCCCCCCCACACACACACATACACATGCATACCCATCCACACACACACACCTCCACAAACACACACACATACATACCCACCCCACACCCACCCACCCGCACACACACACCAACCCACAAACACACACACACACACACCAACCCACACATACATACCCACCCATACACACACAAACCCACACATACATACCCACCCATACACACACACAAACCCACACCTACCCCTACCCCCATCCTTACAGACACACACACACCCACACACACACAAACCTACACCTACCCCCACAAACACACACTCGCACCCCCACCCACCCAACACCACCACGATAATCACCGACCTACCATCACCACCACCACCACCGCTGCCACCACCATCACCATCACTGACACAATTGTCGCCGCCACCACCATCGCCTGTCATTACCACTACCGCCGAGGCGCCGCCGACCCGCTACCGTCACCACCACCACCCACTCCCTACCACCGCTACCGTTTTTTAAAAATGAAAACCGATAGAAAAATACACATCTAAACACGTTTTCTAATTTTCTAAAACTGAAAATGAAAAATGAATAAGTTTAACTAAATGCGTTTACTAAATTTTTCAATGAAAAATGAAAACGGAAAACGAAAATTAAAAAGGGAAAACAAAAAACGGAAAATAAAAATTGTTTTTCCGTAACTAAACGCAAACTAACATTTTCTTTTTTCTTCTTCTTTCTTTCCATTGTTTTGACATTTGTATATTATAATATTTCTCACACATGACATTAGTTTTACAGGTTAAAACAAGAAGAGTGAGGGGAGTAGAACCTTTGGCCTAAGGCCTTGTTCTTGAGTTTTTTTTTTTTTTTTTTTTTTTTATAATGAATATAAGGGATGGAAGGAGAATAAATAGAATGGAATCCAAGAAAATGAAAGATAAATATAAATAATTAAATAATTAATTGTGTTTTTAATTTAGAAAAAACATAAACAGTTTAAGCCTTTTTCCCAATTTGCTAAAAGACATGAAACAGACTATCTATTTTGCTTTCCCTCCTTTCCATTCTCTAATGTCTCTTAATTTTTTTTTTTTTTTTGAAAAAAAAAAAGAAGTCAAAGAACACATTTAACCTTATCTATCGTTTTACATCCTTCCATTTCATTCAACCCCTTAAATCAATGAAATCTTGAAAAGGTGTAAAAAATGGTCTGAGTGGAAAAATAAGAGGATCGAAAAGGACGATATACGTAACTTACTCTTCTTACCTATGAGTGGTGTGACTAGTGAGCATCAAGACTTCGTACTTTCGTAGTTTCGTAGTAGTAAAAAATGGCGCTCGTTTGGTCCCCTAACGTTCTTTCCTCTTCCACTCCCACCGTAAACCCTAATTACACAGTCCGTCACAAATTCCCCATCCACCATATAGCGCGACGTTCTCCACCCTGGTTCTCAATCCGTTCCCCTTCGGTACCATGCCTACCAATATCACCGCCTCTTCAATTTTCTGTATTCATCTTTTCTAGTTGCGGAAATTTGGTGATTCATATTTGGGGGTTCATCATGGATAAGTCCAGAATTCATAAACAAACAAAAAAAAAAAAAGGATGAATTATTCGGAAAATTTTACACTTTATTGATTAAAATTACGATTTATAAGGAGGGTACTTTGGCTGCCTTACATTCCCCCAAATTTTATCACCGAAATTCCATATTGTATTTGTGACTCATATTCACTCATATATTTCGCATATTGAAGAGATCTCGTAGCTGCTGCTTGCATGTTCCAATTGTTAATGAATTGGGAAAAGAATCCGACGAGAGCAGTAAGCAAGGTGAGATCTTTTTGTACATTATCCCGTAATGAAAAGTTTGTGATCAATCAAAGCTTATGACAAACGCTACAAAGATAGAGATGTAATAAATTTGTACCAAGTCCACCAAACTGGAAACTAATCTACTAAAAGCTCAACAATTTCCATTTTGGGTGATCCAAACTGATTTTGACCTTTTTCCCTGTTTGAAACTTTGATGTGAAAGTTGCCCATTTACTTGTTATCTTGTGAATTATTGATGATATTGGCTTTTACGTTTTATCTATGCTGTGATTGGTGAATTGTCTTTTAGACATTTGACTTGTAGTCATGCACTCTAATAAAGTTTAACCACTCAACTTTCATATCTGTTCCATTGTTGTGAAATTTTGTATTTCTTTTATCTATTTTTACGAATCTTTGTATATCTTGTTGATGTTGCTCACTAATTGAAACAGTTTCACTAAATACTAATCAGCTTCAGTTTGTTCCTAACTTCCTATGTTGCGAAAATAATATTGACTTTGTGAGTTCTTATATTATAGGTGACAACAGTGAAGACTTAGGAGTCAAAGTGGCATTGTCTATGCTAAGGTTTTACAAAAGTGAGTCTCCAATGCACACAAAACACAGTCCAAGATGATGTGTCATGTCATGTTAGTATTAGTAACATGTTTTGTGGTTATCTCAGGGGAAATTTCACCATTAATGCCAAAGAGCTGTCGATACGTTCCAACTTGTAGTGAGTACTCCATGATTGCTTACAAGAAGTATGGTGTTGCTAAAGGCTCCATCTTGACAGCCTGGCGCCTCTGTCGCTGCAATCCCCTAGGTATTTATCTTTTTGTTTTGTATCTATTTCTGGATGATTTATCAAATGCATACTTTTTCTTCTTATTATTATTATTTTTTTTAATTTTTTTTAGGTGGATCAGGATTTGATCCTCCAAGATGGTTTGATGAGCCAAGCCCACCAGAACAATGAAATCCACTGTGTGGTGGTAAAATCAAAGAAAGGCCTCCAAGATTTAAATTGTTTATAAAGTTAGAATCCTTAACAAAGTTCAAATACTTGAACAGTTGTGGGATTGGAATTAAGGTAAATAGGGGAAATAAGTGCCTCTATGTGATAAAGGGTGGCATGGTCCCCTATGTAGCCCTGGAGTATGCTATCAGTGATTTTAACATTACAGGACAAAATTAAATCAGAGAGAGTGTCTCACATCCAAAATTAAGAGAGACGACTTTCTGTATCAAATTTATGAAAGGATCTGACAGAAGTTTATCAATGTAATTGGTAGAAAAAATAGTTTAATAGTATTTGGTAGAAAAGACACTTAAATAACCAAAAAGCTACCAAACAAGTTGGAGTTTCAAAAACTTAAAGTTGGTTATTCAACATCCGAAATAAAGGTTTAGATATATTTATCTAAACTATTGAATAAAATCCAATCTACTAGACTACTACTATATGTATCTCATATTGGTTTGATAAAGCCATATATATCTCTATATATATTGGAGTTTTCCTTCTCTCCATAAGAACTCTTTTGAAGAGTTAATATAAGATTCCACATATATCTTACATGGTATCAAAACCGATGTTTGCAACTAATATGGCTTGACATATTGATGTGTGATTTACTATGTATAAAATAATAAGATTTTAAATTTATAAAATGATTTTGTCACAACCGGATAGTTATATACACTAGCTAGTATATTTAATCATGTAATATTATAACTGAGGTAAGACCATGTATCGAACACTATGAAATATGGTATGATTTGCAATAAAAAAAATTAAAAACTAGATGAAATCAACATATTTAAAATGCTCTCACTTAGATTTCTAATTCCTTCTCTGGATTATGGCTGATTGTCTTAAAAGTGCAATAGATTAAGTTTGTTATTTACTGATTCCTATCATAATTAGTTATTTCGGTCCGATTAATTAATCCTAATAATTATTAACACAATGATCATGTAGTTAACTATCTAAACAATTAGTGTTAAGTTCGTATTATGAGAGTCTTGTTTAATTAATTTATATCAATGATAATGATTATTAATTAATGCTCATCTAATGCAATCTTACACATTAAAATTCATTAATTATCATCTAAACCTAGGATTTTCCTATCAATCCTGATCATAAAGTAGTGTTATTTTGTTTATTTTGTTTCTTACATCTATTGTGTACCCGTAAGTATAATTCTGGACCAATGGATGAATAAAATTAATGGTCATTTGAGGGTTTATGATATTACAATAGGGTAACATGTGCCATATAATCACACAAATTTCAACAGAAATGTGTTTTGGTAAATTAACCTACATTAAAAAAGAAATTTTCCGGATTTTAAGGGATAATTAATTTCCTTTTCTAAATCTAAATTTTTTAAATTAATTCAAATTTAATTCTATTATAATTTCTATTACTAACCAAATTTATTATGTCGGAATGACAGAGAGTCAAATAAACTAGTAAATATATTTTCGATTTTATTCTTCCAGAATATGGTTCATTCAATATATTTTTTATAATTTACATGCTTAAAGAATTATACAACATATTATCAAGAATAATATTTTATAAAGAATACAGATTTTATTTTTTAAGAATCACTAATTACATTAATTCGTAAAGAATAAGACTACACAATTATTACATTCATTCTGAAAAAAAAAAAAATGATTAATAATGGTTTAAAAATTACATTTATTCTTAAAGATTAAAACTAAGAATGGATAAAAAATAAAAATAAAAATAAAAACATCAAAAATCTAACAAAAACACTTTATACATTCTCACTGAATACATTCTGCTAAATACATTCTGCTAGAATACTCTTGTTCTCTATGTTTTCTTCTTTTTCCACATCAATCTCAGCCTCGTCAAAATCTATATCCACAAAGAAAACATAATCAACTTTAAAAAAATATTAAAACTTTTAGTATATTCTAAAATAATAAAACTATAAATTCTAATAGAATGTGTTAGACATTAAAGACTTTTAATTTATTCTAGCTGATTACCAGTTAAACAAATATTCTTGTTGTTCACATACATTCTTAAAGACATTCTATGAATTTATGCAGTCTATGCTTTAGAATGTTTATACATAAAATACATTATGCTAGATTACACTACCGTTCGCCATGATTACTTTCTTTTCCATATTATAATACAAAAACTTGTTCATTCTATGAGAATGTAAATATAAAATAAACATGTGTTTCTAGAAATTTTGACAGAATTCATACCACATGGTTAGATTCTTTGATTTTTTTAGCATTTCAACAAACACTTGTTAGTCATTACCATAAAACAAGCAAAATGGTGAGCATTGATTTGTTAATCATAAAAAGTATTAGAATGAACTTGTCCATTATGTGAGAATATAAGTATTACATAAAATATGTGTTCTTGATATCATATTTTGTCAAAATGGTATTACATGAGAAAAAACACTTAAGAAGCACTAGAAAATATCTAAAAGCCCATTTCCTCGTATACACATTAGGTAAAAAAGAAACTACCCTTCATATGAAAGAAGATAGAAATGGTAAAAATACCTGAAAGCCCATTTCCTCGTGTAAACAAGTCAACCCACAAGCAGCATCTTGAGCTACTTTAAGTCTCATACTCCATGAAAGAGTTGCTTCATTCTTAGCACATAAATGATCCTCGACACTTCCATTCGGCATATATTCGTAAACCAGAAGCCTTTGAATACCTCCTTCATCATCTTCTGCACAATACTATAACACCCAAAGTTTTAAAGGCCATGAAAGGAAAGAAAGCCCTGATTTTAAGGGTTGACTCGACGAGTCCAAGGAGGGACTCGGCGAGTCCGAGCGGGATCCGGGTCGAGGAGTAAGCGACCGACTCGGCGAGTCGGCCAAGGTGACTCGACGAGTCTGGTCTGTGCGAGGAAAACCTTAAGTCTAGGACTTTGGGTGCTATTTAAGCTCCTTATTCTCTCCATTAGGGTTCCTTAGAGCCTCCGTTGTTGTGCATTCAAGCTTCCAAGCCATTTTTGGGTGATTTGAAGGAAGAAGAAGGAGGGGAATCAGTGAAGCTTCAAGGATTTGCTTCAGATCTGGAGTTTGTGGAACCTTTCTGAAGTATTGAAGGTATTAAGTCATTTCCTTCCCTTAGATCAATTTTGGTTGTGAGTTTTGGGGCTTTTAAGCCATGATTAGCCACCCTTATGGGTTAGAAGCCGGATATGGAGTTGCTACTTCAGATCCAAGTGTGTTATGGTCTGGAGAAGCATAAAGTATCAGCCATTGAGTCGATTTTGAAGCCCCTTGGCCTTAAACCCTAGTTTATGGCATATTTTGCCTAGATCTCCTTCTTTACACGTAAAGTTTGAAACTTTACGTGAGGAATAGGCTTGGGAAGGGTAGATCTACAGTTTGGAGTCCATGCATGACTCAAAAGTCCTCTGCATGTAAGGAGAACTGAAGGGACTCGGCGAGTAGCATGAAGTTGTGGAGAAACTCGACGAGTGGGATGAACAACTCGTTGAGTCATATGAAGATTGCCTTGTACTCGGCGAGTCTGTTCTTGGACTCGACGAGTCAGGTCGCGAAACCCCAAACCCTTCGAGTTGAGACTCGAATCAGTGAGTCGGGTGGAGACTCGGTGAGTTGGACAGGTCAGGACTCAGAAATCGGCAGACTCGGCGAGTCGAGTCGCGAATGGAAGGAATCTGATCATTTTGAACTCGGCGAGTAGGGTTGACCTGGAAGGTTGGCTTTGACCTGGACTTTGACCTTGACCAGGGTTGACTTGGTTGTCTTTCGGGGATCAGTTAGACTCAGTGTTGCATTGATATTGGTAGTTCGGGGAGCAAGGGGAGCAGGAGTTCCGTGACTTGTCGGGCAGCAACTAGTGAGATCATCAGCAAGTTCAGCCAGTGCATGTGAGTTTTTCCTTTGTGTGAATGGGTTTAAGGCCACAACGTTGGCCCATGTAGTTATGAGTAGAGGACCCGGGGGTTAGCCCTAGGCACAGTATGCTAGTATGATTTTCAGGACGAGGTCCAGTAATAGCGGGCAGGTGCCCAAAGATTTGTTTATATGATAGTTTATACTTGTTGTCTGTGTGATACATGTATGTGCCTGGTAGGGAGGTGAGTGTGGGCGAGGTCCCGTATCTCACCAATAGCAGAGTGTGGATGGGGTTCCACATCTCAATAGTCGCATAACAGGGGCAAGGCCCAAGTTAGGGAAGGATTGAGGGTGGGCTGGGCCCGTATCTCACTACCACTAGTAGCGTGGATAGGGTTCCATGACTCATCGGTAGCAGTACATAGGCGAGGCCTAGGATAGGCGAGGCCTTAGGATAGAACCAGTTGTATGTGGTTAGTTATGTGTTGTGATATGTTTATGTGATATTAATTGTTGGCGGGCAAGGCCCTGTAACAGGCGGGGCCTAAGTAAAACAGATCTGTATCCGAGCGGGGCTCGAAGCCAGGCGGGGCCTGGAGCGGCGGGGCCATTGTAGCGGGCGAGGCCCAAGGTAGCGGGTGTGGCCCAGTATGTGCAATATGTGGTTATGCATGGTATGTGGTAGGGTGGGAAACTCACTAAGCTTCGTGCTTACGATTTTCAGTTTTGGTTTCAGGTACTTCCGGTAGCGGAGGGAAGAGCTCGGGGTGATCGCATGGCACACACCATAGATTAGACAGCATGTGAATGTTTACTTTGATAATGAACATGTGTTTTGAAAACTTATACTCATATTATGTTTTGGAATGATAACTTTACTTTAAGTAATGATTTATTAAAAGAAATTTTTGGTCTTAAATTTCGGGTCGTTACAAATACCCGATTAATTTCACAAATCCCAAGAACATTCACCTCTGTGACTCACTCCTTATGCTCCTGTCAAATCAAAATCCCAAATTCGAAACCAAAATCAAATACCAAAATCACATAAAGAAACTCGATCGGAAGTTCTTAAAAGCTTACATGTAACCCTCGTCGGCCGAGCTGTTTAACGGCGACACAAACATTTTTAGTCGGGTCTTGATCGGATTTAATGGCGCTGATGTAGACACATCCGAAACCACATTCGCCGATCTTTGTTGATCGGTTGAAGCCATTGGTGGCCGATTTGAGTTCGGGGAAAGTGAAGACTCGAAGATTACTTGGTCTCTGTGAAAAACTAGGAACATTAGACCTTCTTCCGATCAATTATGTGCTTACGTCAGAAACAAACTACATCTCCGACTCACTTGAGTCCTTTTGTCGACCTACCTGTATGTGAAAAAGAATAAGCGTCGTCTGATATAAGAGAGGATATAAGAGAGAGACTAGATCAAATATATTTATTTTATTTTTTAAATTGTAGGAATTCAATTAAATGACCCATTAATTAAAAGTATAAAAGGTCCAAAATAATCTTAAATGATTTATATAATTATTTATCATTTCTTGAATTCTCATTGGTGCATTTAAAAACATAATAGTTGCTAGAAAAATTTAAATCTCTCTCTTTCTCTCTCTCTCTCTATATATATATATATATATATATATATATATATATATATATATATATATATATATATATATATATATATATATATATTCAAATCGGTCATTTAGATTATATAAAATCAACAACAAATGAATAAAAACAAGAACTTTAACGGATAAAGATCTTCAAACAAGCATAAAGAATAAATTAAACAATGTGTAAATCAAATCTAATAATCAAACCATAATCTCAAGAGGTTTATCTAAATCTAAGCAGATGTAAAAGAGAATTACCCTTAATCACGAATGAAATGCATAAAGAAATCAATATGAAAGTGCTAAACTTGATATTAAAGCAAACTAAATTGACGTACCTAATGATTCAAACTCAAGATCTTCAAACGTTTGCTTCAACATTGTTCTTCAGCTTCCAAAAGGGTTGTGGTCTTCAAAAATCGTCTTAAACTTGTTCTACAAGTTGGTATATCTTCTAAGGTTGAGGAGATGCTCTATTTATAGAATTTGTTTTCTAGTAGAACACATCATATAAGGTAATGGGACGTGTTGCATAATATGAGGTTTTCGTGTTTGTATCGACTTTTATAGAGGCACTGGCTATTTGTAGGTGAGGTCGAAGGTTCGATGCTTGCAAGCTCCATTTTCCTTGTATTAAATCAGTTTTATACTTTTATAGATATTATATATAATTACTCATAAACACATACTCGAAAACATTGGTGGTAAAGTGGGGTTAACAAACTCATTGATTTTTCTCATTAACATAAGACGGTGACCTAGCAGCCACGTCAGCTACACGTCATAGTCAACCCACATATGTGGATGATCTACTTAGAAGGTAAAGGGGCAAATATTAAAATCTTCCTAAATATTAGACATTATTAGTGCACCAAAAATAATCACATACACATAACCACAAAGTCGACAAAATTTATCAAACTTAAGAACTTTTATGTCAATATCATTATTTTATTTTTATGGAAAAACCTCATAAAAACCCAATGTATATTCATCATATGCTTAAAAAAACCATTATATTTTTTTTGGTGTACTAAAACCCTTATATTTTTTGAAGTTCTTATTTAAGGTTTTATGATTTTAGAAAAACCTAATCTATTTTCATGAAAGGATTAAAAAACCATTATAATACCTTTTAATGCATTTAAACCTTAATATTTTTTTGAAAATTTTTAATCTAATGAATTGTAACAAACCAAACGTTGAGAATCAATTACATAGCATTTTCGGTTATCTAAGATTTACCAAGCTCAATGCCTTAAATGATGCATTTTAAAAAATATAAGGGTTTTTTCTTAATATATATATATATATATATATATATATATATATATATATATATATATATATATATATATATATATATATATATATATAAAAAAGACTAAAATATGTTGGGTTTTATAAGGTTTTTTTATCTTTACAAAATTAATATTTTAAAGGAATTTTTGGTTTATCGCGTGAATAGTTGAATATATTCTTATATTCGTATGACATTATTCCTAAATGAAACAAATTTTTGGTTGATTGTAAATGCTCGGATTAACCAAATTTAATATCAGATGTTCTGATTCACTTGGAAGTTTAGAATGAAAGATTTGTTTTCTTCTTGTTGGACATTGCTGCTCCTGCTGCTGCTGCATGGAAGAAGAAGTGCCTAAATCTGCGGTATTTCGTTCTCTTTTTCTTGGTTTTGCGTTCGAGTGAGTTCGTCTCTTTCTTCGACCACACCGCTTTTCTGTGATTGTGCGCCGATTTTCGCATTTTCCCCTATTTCTGTTAATCTAAAGATTGGTACTCGACATGATGCAACTCTGATTAGTATTCCGTTTCCGATTCGTCTGAATTGAGGGTTTTTTCCGTAACATTTCAGATTAGGAGTTCATATAGGGTTTTTTTTGATTAATTACAAAAAGGCGTTTACGAATTGCTACTTTGATTCTTGGTATTTGGAGTTTGATTTGTGAGATTAGTAAGATAGTGAGGCGATCCGTGTATGGGGACTCAAACAATGGGATCGAACGGTGGAACACAAAAGCCTGTGTTCGATGGATTGTCAAGGCAAGGATCTCTGTATAACCTAACTTTAGATGAGGTTCAGCAGCAATTAGGCGATTTAGGGAAACCTTTCAGTAGTATGAACCTTGATGAGTTTCTGAAGAATGTTTGGAGTGCTGAAGCTAATCAAGGAATCAACAATGGCTCCTCCCCTGATTACTCCGAACTCACCCAACTTGCTTCTGCTTCATCTTTGCCTAGACAATTGAGCCTTACATTCACCAAGGATTTAACCAAGAAGACAGTCGATGAGGTCTGGCAAGATATCCAACAAGATCAGAATAAAAAGAAGACAAATGGTAGTGATAGCAACATTGACAATACTAGTAGTTGTAAAAGACAAGCTACTCTTGGTGAGATGACACTGGAGGACTTTTTAGTCAAGGCAGGGATCGTGTCTGAATCTTCTTCTCCTGGTAAGAAAAACCATGAGCAGAATCTTGATCCACCAGAAGCACAGTGGATGAACTACCAAATTGCTCAGATTCCACAGCAACATGTGGTTATGTCAGGCCATTATCAAGTTCCACAACCCCTCCCTCTGAATGTAATAGACACTGGTTATCTGGAGACACGTATGACAATGTCTCCCACCCCTTTGATGGGGAGTGTATCTGAGTTTGGAAGGAAACGAGTTGCTTCTGGAGATGTGATAGAGAAGACTGTGGAAAGGAGGCAAAAGAGAATGATTAAAAATAGGGAGTCTGCTGCACGCTCTCGAGCAAGAAAACAGGTATAATACTAAACTCCTGTCTTCTTTTCTCATTTTACCTCTTGTAAATGTGTGATGAAAAAATGCTGTATTGTTTAACAGGCTTACACACATGAGCTGGAGAACAAAATCTCACGTTTGGAAGAGGAAAATGAAAGACTCAGGAGGCAGAAGGTATGCATATCTGTTTCTCATAGTTCCTTCACTCTTTTTCATGTTGTCCAGTCTCTTCCTTACAGGGAATGTTACTTGTATGTAGTGTTACTGGTTAAATGCTTGCTTATTTATGCAACAATGTTTCACTATTTACCAATTTATGCAACTGACACGAATTTTGCAACTACGTTTCAATTGGTTGTATATTTCATCTGGAAAACAGTTTTGTTGCATAATTTGGCAAAAGGGTGAAATGTGATGATGTTTTATAAGGTATAAAGCTTATTGTATGTGTATGTGCATGTGCATATTTGCAGGAGGTGGAGAAGGTTTTGCCATGTGTACCACCTCCCCAACAACCCAAGTATCAACTCCGAAGAACAACCTCAGCTCCTTTCTAGCAATTAATCATCTTCCTTTTCCTTTATCTGAAGACATGTTGGTGGGGTCATTAGGGGTAGCCTTTTACCTTTTTCTTTTTTAAATTTGTTGCTTAGGTCTTGTGTACATTAAATGTTTGTTCTTGCTTCTTAGTTTTGTTGATGCATCTCATTTACAACAATATTTGAATATGAATGTGAACTCTTCAAATAACGATAATGAGCTTACTTTAACATCCACATAAAATTTGTTGTATTCAATAAAATACAACAGAATAAAATAGCCCGAAAACAAAAGGAAATAAGTTGTATTCAATATCTTTGCTCACATATGACAAACACTTGGAAAACAGAAAACAATCATACTCCAAATTTACATCTATAAAATGCGGTTTACCATTATCACTTTTTTTTTATAGTTGATGAACAGTTTGGGTTTCATGTGTGTTTATTTGTTCATCACATTTCTCACGTTCACTAATGCAATCTTCTTTCATATCAAAAAGAAAAGGAGACGGGTGAAGATCCAAGTCTAGACTCCCTTCCTTTCGTTTTGAGTCACTTTCAAACTCATCATACTGCAGATTCTGTAGAATTTCAGGAAGTGAAATCCCACTCGATTCTGAAAACTTATTCCCCATTTCAATGTCAATCTTTTCCTTTGATGTTTGTATAAGATCCGAACTTGTCTCCCCAATCACCATATTTTCATCTTCATGCACAATCGCCCTAAAATCATTCAATGAAGGAGGAATCTTCCATAGAAAAACTTGTAAAAGATTCCTTGTTGTTCCTTCATGATACGGATTCTCCTTCTTATCATATCTATACCGGAAGTTTTCATATGTTGTCTGCATCAATCATCAAGATCCAAGTTCCATAAGTGTCAAAAAAAAAAAAAAAAAAAAACTCTAAACTTTGAAGGTTTTAAAGAGAAGAATGAAGATCACCTGGTTTGAGCAAATAAGATAAAAATGGAAAACAGAAAGCCCACCAACAAACCACATGGTGATGAAGCAGTAAACGATGAGGACATCAGACAAAATATCCTTTGACATGGCCTTCAAAACGTTGCCCTTTTGGGCGAGGTGGACCCATGAAAAGGCAAACACGTATACACACAAGATTGTTGAGGTTGATATAAACATGTAGAAGAATCGATAGTTTCTCTGCAATAAATGATAAAGGAAACCCAAACCCAAATCCATTATTTATTTATTTTTCGGAAATCAGAATCAAAATTAAGAAAAATCAACTTACTAGTCCGATGCATTGACCAACCCATGGACAATGATGATCAAATTTCTGAACACAGTTGTTGCAGATGGAGCAATGTGAGGCACGTGGAGGACGATACAGCATACACGTGTCACAGTATTTGACTTTAACCGAATGACCATTCACCACAACTTCTTTCGTTTTGGGTAATCTCAGATGAGGAGTTCTGTCATTCAGCCATTCCATCGAAGGGGTGTTCATATCAAAGGCTTCATCACATTCCGGTGGGGTTGAGTTTCGTGGGATTATTCCCGGATCTTTACTCGAAGTCAATAAAAGAAACAATATATCCTAAAAGATATACACATTTAATTTATCATCAGATTTGTTACAAGTCCTTCCTTCTTTCTTTCTGTGTTAACCAAGTCAAACAGCTTACCAGAAAAGTGAGAATGGCTGCTACAAGCAGAATGATGTACCAGTATCCAACGTCTTTTCCATCTTTCTTGTTGACGTTAATGGTGTGGTAGACTTTAAAACAGAAGGATACAGCAGGGCCTGCAACTAGGAGTATGGTCAAAATCAAGGAAGCCACATCTGGACCAAAGATCAATCGTCCCCCACAAAAGAATCTCTGAAACGGAAACACCCCAATTCAATTCATCGATCATCAGCAGGAATATTAAACCTAGCTAAAACTTTAACAAACTCTAGTACGAATGAATAGATGAAGAAGATTAACAACTTACATTGCTTCCTCTCCAGACCTGATATAGTCTTTTTGGCTTTTCATTCCCCTCTGCTATCGACATCGGAGCTGTGATCTGGATTAGAGTATACAAAAGCTTCGGAACTCCTTGCTTCCTCTTCCGATCAACTCAAAACCCATGTCATGTGGAAAAAATTCAACAATTCGAATGATTTTTTATCGCTTTGATAGTTATATATTCAATCAATTCTTGGAGATGTGTGATTGGGAAGTGAAAAAGCCTTTCAGAAATTAGCTGCTTCGCCTTGTTTGTGTTGATTTTACAGCTATAGGAAGCAACAGCTTCATATCCCTTTCTCTTTCTCTCTGTCTCTGGCGAACAAAGCTAATTCGGCGGATGTTCCAACTTTGTAGCGACATTCCCGCGGTAGCCTTTTCAGGCTTTCTTGATCTTTTGTTCTGCCTAATTTACTCCTTGGATTATAGATCAAACTGCAACTTTAGTCCTTCAGCAATATAATTTAATCACATTATAGTTTTTTAACTTTATTCATCATCTCAAACTTAACTTTATTTTCTATCTTGTTTGATTTTTGTTTGTGAGTTCATGATGAATTTTGTATATTTCTTTCATTTTCCTTCTTGTATTTTGCAAACATACATGCAACTTGTTAATTTTTATCAGGAATATCTAGTAACTTTGATTCTATATAAATTTTCTATCAAGTAGTGCAATAACCTATTCCATGTGTGTTGATTAGTTTTTAGAGTGCTTTATTTATCAATTATCCTTGTTTTAAAATTTTGTTTTCAAACTAGTATTAACGAAGAAAACAAGTGATTGCCTACGTTCATTTGTGTTTCATATATCTTCTTTAATTAGTATATAAGGTTTTATCTTATAAATAAGATCAAATATGTTGAAAAGTTGTTAAGTTGGTATTTTGGTACAACTCAAAAGTCCTCATGTGAACATATAACAGGAAAAAGGCTTTTATGTAAAGAGTCAAATTGAGGATTAAAGATGTCAATTCTAAGAACTAATTTACAATTGTAGAAAAAGAAAGGAACATACATTATTATGTACAAATCGAGGTAGTGTCCACAGAATCAGGTCCACACATATGCATAGAATTTGGTTGATACTTGCAAAACATAGAGAATTTGCATATGGGCTATCGTGAGATTTTGTCGATTGATATCCATACATTTAGAATGTCCACATAATGATTTTTTCAATCAAAACATTGAGTTAACGTAAATGGTTGTGAACATGTTTTTAAGATTCATAGATATCGATGCTTGGATATTCTTTTTTTCTTTTTAATTAGTAGGTAAAAATTTTAATTTGTATATAGAACAAGGCGATTTGTAGGCAGCTATAACGAAAGAATTAATGTTGTAGATTAAAGCTGCAAGTTAATAAATAATCCAAGGACTAAACTTGTACCTTGTTCTTTTATTTATTTATTTTAAAAAATAGTATATTCATTGTCTTTTTAATTCCACATTGAGCGAAAAGAAGCATCCGATCGTGAGGGCACAAAGTGTACCAACCAATATTATCTATTACCTAAGATCAAGACCTTCTTTAAAAAAATAATCCAATATTATCTATTACCTTTTGCTTTTCTATAAAATAGAATTATGTTAGAAAAATAAAATAAATTTATAAACTTTATTAATTTACTAATAAGTCATTATTACTGGATGTTGGTTACACCCATTATGAAAAACAGTTTTTTAAATCATTTTTTGGGCTTACATTATGACTCAATATTATCTATCACCCTTTGCTTTTCTAGAAAATAGAATTATGTTATAAAAATAAAATAAATTTATAAACTTTATTAATTTACTAATAAGTCATTATTACTGGATGTTGGTTACACCGATTATAAAAAAACAGTTTTTTAAATCATTTTTTTGGCTTACATTATGACTGAAAAGTTGGAATCATCATCATAACAATAGTTTGGATCTTAGTTAAGGTATGGTAAATTTGGGGAAAGGGAATGGTAAATTTGGTGACTGATGTACTTAAAAATGATAAATTAAATAAAATATATAATTTTGAAGTCCATAAGTTTCACCCTTAAGATGAGTTATTAAAAAACAATTTAATATATGACTTCAATTAACAACTAGAAAAAGAAACGTATATTCTCAATCATTAATTAAAATAGATATATTTGAATTAATAATAAAACCATAATCTTGTTTATGTTACCTTATATTTATAACAAAGACATGAGCAATAATGTACATTATGGTCCTGAAATAATAATTAAAAAAAAAAAGTACAAGTTTGCGATAAGTTTGAAGGTATACATGCCACAAGTTGAATAATATTTTATAACAATAAATGATTTTGTCGATTACGAGCTAAGATGTATTTTACTATTTTATAACAAAGTATAACTTTACACAAAAGGATGTTTTTTTTATAATTCAGTTTCATTAATGTATCATGTATGGGTATTTAAATATTAATAATGGCAAATCTGTCACCAACAACCAAATAAATAATGGGTTGTTCCATGTATAAACGTGCTGCCACAACATTAATTCAATTCCCTTTAAATGATCCAAATGCAGACTGTATTTTTGTAATTTTGTCCAAACCGCACCTTTTTTAAACTGTATTTTATTTTAAGAAGAATAAATATTTGTTTACGATGAAAACCATATATAAGTGTTTAATAAAGGATTAAATGCACATAAGTGTCAAGTGTGGCAATATTTAGGTGCAACGATGTTTAAGTTTAGGAACATAAAAGTAAATATTTTAAGTTTAATGATTGAAATGCGGTTGCATAAACTGTTAAAAAACATTATCACATAAATTCATTAAAAAAAAAAAAAAAAAAAAGAGTAAATTGAAAAATCGATCGATATGGTTTTACTAAAAAGTGTAGTTTTGGACCATTTTTTTTTTCACACACGCGTTGTCTAAAACTGAAACTACTGTGCAGAATTGGTCCCTCCATTGAACAACCTTCCAAAACTCACATTAACTCTCTCCATGTGTGACACACGTGATGGGTATTTTCACCATTTCATATTCTTTACTTCTATTACTAATATGTTTCCCTTTGCATTATTAATCTCTAACTATCAGTTGTCCCCTCGTTACCCTCATTGAAAGAGTTTGATCCGTTGACTCTGTAAAACCCTAATAGCTTCAAAATGTGGCAATTCCGACCTCAAAAGCGTAGAGTAGACACGGAATCATTATATGATAAGTAGATGATCACACAGATTTTCTTGATGATCAAGAGAATTTGTTGGATTTCATGAGTAAAAAAGATTTTCTTATGGATCAAAATGTATTGGATCATAAGGATATGGTACAGACTAATTGCATGGATGAAGAAGAGACAGAGATTCCTAAACAAGAAAGAAAAATCCCTACATAAGAACTTGTTATGGAACAACAAGAGTACAATGATCAATAAAATAGTGACTAAAAAGAAAGAGAGAATAGTGATGGTAGTGATGTTAGCGAAAACAGTGACTATTGGGTAGATGAGGACACAACTATAGCAATGTACTTTCAAAGTACAATGCTATAATATGATTTTTTAAACTCAAATTGCCATTTATGTGGGTAATGATACAGATTATTACATTTTAATGCATGAAGGATGTTATAATATAGTAGGATGCTATACTAAAAGTAAGTCGCTTGTTATTTTAATTATGAAATGAAAGATACTACCCTTAAAATGGCTAAATTTAGCACCACTATGTACTCTTGAAAAGGGTTTGTACAACTTGAATGTGAATATTGATGAAATGCGTGTACACATTTCACCTAGAAAAAAAAAATAGTAAACCAAACCTTTATCGATAATTGATGAACATGCATTGATGCGGGAAGCAACTTCTACTTTAATAAGAAAATTTAAAGTTATCCAAAATACTTATTAGTTATACTATAGTTATACTATTGGGCCAAAGCTCATGTCATCACTAAAATGGGCGAATGGGGTATTTATTTATTTACAAGGTGTGAATACACGAGTTTTTTTTAAAGTAATATATTTTAATAAGCATTAAATGTTTAATAATTTACAAAATTGAATTTGGAAAAATATTAATATTAACTGTGAATGAATCAATTTTTGTAAGGTTTCTACAAATTATCGTAAATTCAAAAGAGATTGACTGAAAGTTATGTTTTTCAATTAGGAAGATTGATTTAAATTTAAATTGAATTTAATACATTAATTGATAAATTGCGTGAGAATTTATAGAGACATTTAAGTTTCCTTATTTTTTTATTATATTTTTAGATTAGATTTTTTTATAATTGAATAAAAAGCCGAAAAACCACAATTTGCCAAATGGATTTAAATGAAATTGTTTTTTTTAAATGACATATGATATATTGAATTAGGTGATGAAACGTGGCAAAAATCCTTTATTTATTAGGTATGATTTATATTTTTATTTTTTGTATTTTGCTTATTGATCCAAGTAAAAGAGGAGGCTGTCTATTGGGTATTTGGGTTTTTGCAAATCAATAAGCTAATACTTTGCCTTTGATTTTTTGTAATTGTTAATAGGTTTACAATATTCGACGTTAAAGTTTTTTGTTTTTGTTTTTGTTTATATTATTATTTTTAAATCAATTTTGCCGCTTTGGCTCTTTGTATTTTTTTTAATAGAATTAGAGTATTTAATTGTGTTGCTTGTTGGAGTTTAGAATGATTATTTGCAAATCCTTTTACTAATACCTTACCTCTTTTTCTTATTGTTAATAGTAAATGAGCATTTAAATGTTTATTAGAGCATTTTAATGGTTTTTTCGCAGATATGAAATAAACCAACAAAAGGCACAATATGCATTTTTTTTGCACGTCAGTTCACCAATCCAACTTCATATTTCTTTTCTATTTGTTATATTTATGCTTCGTATTCGTAAGTTTTAGTTTGTATATCGATTTTTTACCGAAAAAAAATATATTGCTATTTTGTTTTATAAATCTTTGGGTATTTAGGTTCGGTACAAATATAATATGAAATAGCTATGGACCGGCAATTGATAAAATAAAATTTTGATTTAAACCGAAAAATAAATAAATAAAATTAATGATTTTTTCTCGATTATTCTGAGTATATAAATCCACATATGCATCAAGGTGTTTTTTTCCCAATTTACACGACTCCGGTATCCTCAGAAGGGACGTTCCGAATACACGCTACTCATATATTCTCTCTTCACCCTAAAGTAGCAGAAAGAAGTATCGATCGATCAAGAATGGCTGAAAGTGCTTCTTCTGCCAAGAGATGGCTTCCTCTCGAAGCAAACCCCGATGTTATGAACCAGGTTCTTTCTCTATATCACTATATGTATTATGTTTTCAATCGTCCCTTGTTTTGTGTTTCTGTTAAATCTATTAACTCGCCAATA